GAGGGCGCAGGTAGCGCGGCCCCGCGGGGGCGGGCGGGGGGGCAGCGGAGCAGGTTAATAAGCGCCGGCCCCGTCGGTTGTCACCCGTTTGCCGCGCTGGAGCGGCGCTCCGCAAAACAGCGGCGCCGGCCGCCTTAGCCTTGCGTCTCTGCCGGCTTCTTTTTAAAAGAAGGATTTCGGCCACCCCTCCTGCTCCCCGCCCTTAGAGGATGTAGGTTATTTGTCCTGAAAATAGGTGGAGTGCTGCCTAGTCTAAATCCGAAAAAGCCTTACGGCTCTTTTTAACGGGTTGCAGCATCCTGCAGCTTTTTCTGGAATACCTTGCAAAACTGAGCACGGAGCACCGGCAGATGGCTAGGTACGGGCACCCCCCGCCAGCCCTGATCGATGGAAGTACCAATCTGCGTCAGCGTACTGTGAAACAGGTTATACTGCTGTAAAAGAACGTACCCATTCCTACAGTAAAGGTCTAAGGTTGCAGCTCTGATTTCAGCCCTTTCGTAAAAGAGAGGAAAACCCACCACCCAACGCGCTAACAACGGCAGTTAGTTGAGCGAGAAGCAGCTCTTCCATATGCTGATCTCTGACTTCATGGATCTTGCTCGGGTTGGATGAGTAAATCCAGGCTAGCCCCGCTGAAATCAGTGCAATTGCTCTAGGTTTGAACTGGGATAATTTCATAGGAGTTGGCCCCGAGAATAATATCTGGACCATTTGAAGTCACTGGCAAAATTTCCATCAACTTTATTAGAATCAGAATCTGGCAATAAGCTCATATTCAGTTTCCCAGAGACACAGCTGAGAATATTCAAGACAGAATATGTTATTTTCAGAAGTGGAGGTTACACTGAGCGTTCACTTACGTGAAAGCAAGGTTACAGATGGGTGTTTTAACTGCACCAGTCAAGGAACACCGTTAATACTGGGTATTTAAAAGCTTGTTTTGGAAGGAAAAAAAGGAGATTTGAGCACAGATATCATGGGGAGGGGAGGGAGGAGTATGGAAGTCGCTTTTGCAACTGTCCTCTTTTTTTTTCAGTTTGTGAAGATACTCGGATTTTGGAAGCGAGGGTGCATGTGACAGCCTGGACCCAGCACACTCCTTTTGCTATACTAGACCCCACGACCTTCATGAAAGAGGTCTGTGTCATCCCCTAAAGACTGGGCAAGGCAACATCCAGGGAAACTTTTGTACTGCTGATCCATTTATCCACTTTTCTCAGCTTAGAGCGATGGGGCTGGTTTGATTAAACGGAGAGAGGAGGGCTCACTCCCAGAGAGGAGGTGAGCAACACCCCTCTCCTGCTGCGAGGCGGTGTGGGATCCTGCTGGGAAAACTCAAGCTCCCGGGAGGAGAGCCTGGTGCACAAGCTGCCCTGCGTCCCTCTCAGCCCACCAAGGCGGCGTTTTATAGCCGCCTTAGGAGGGACATGTGGAGGCTGGGGGGAAGCGCAGGAGCCCTGATGTCAGTGAGGGAGATTTCCCAGGCAGGTACTCATCCCGCAGGTGGTGAGGGAAGAGAGCAGCCGCTTCTGTGCCATTCCCTTCCCCGTGTTTGGACATAGTTCATGTCGCTGTCTCCAGCAGAGCTTTGTAGCCTCCATTTCCTGTTTTGACAGCAGCAGAGGGAAGTGTCCCATTATACGGTTATCTCTGAAGAATGAACCCTTCCATCCGAAGTGTCCCCTGCTCCTCTTGCAGTCGGGACAGAGGTGGTGCACATTTAGCAACAGACAGCGGTAAACTCCAGGGCAGCTGTTGGGCGTTTCTGCTTCTCTGATGCTCAAATGTGTATCACCTATACATTTTTACTCTGAAAGAAAAACATTTGAAATATTGCCATTTGCATAGGGGTTACTGCCATAAATAGCAGCTGTAATAGCAGTTGGCAGCATTTGGGCATCTGAGTTTGATGCAGTCTGGGGACAGGGACACACAGCAAGCCTTCCAGTACTTCCCTGTTAAGTTACCTTATTCTTAAGGTAAGTTCCCGTGTGTAGCTAGGAAGCTAACATCCTCCTTAGGAAGTCATTGCACCTTTTGTTAAGTTTAACTTCACTCTTTCACTTTTTTCAGCAGTGCTTCCCGGAGATGTACACTACCTATCCCTGGAAATGCCTCTCACGTGTAGATGCGTGTGCTTTACTGTGGGTTTCAGCTAATGTTATCAGACCGGAAAGTCACTGCGTCACTCAGCAACTCGCTGAGGGGTGAAAGAATTAAGTCTTCTTACGGAGGTCACCTACAGCGACAGATTTCAGATATTCCTGCCATCTGAAAGGGCGAGTTTCTGCAGAGGATTTTAAGACTTCGGAGGAGAGCGGAATACCTATGTCTCTGGAGGAGTGCAAAGGCTCCGTATTCGGCAACTGCTGCAGGCTGACACACAAGTTTTAAGAGTTAATTAAGCATATATTGTATGTTTAATGCCGGCAGAATTTTTCGCTTTCCAAGAAGCCTTCGTCATATCTGCCATCTAAAACTCTGCAGTGACATGTACTTTCACTCAGACTTTCCTTTCACTGTCATATCTTCAAAAATGCTGTGGATACAGGCTTCTGGGTAGCGTTCGGTCACCAGATTTCCCTGCTCATGACGGACATCTGGTGGCAAAGTGGAGAAACTCGGGTCTATTCCTGGAAGTTTCCCTCGTTGGCAAGTTAGCAATAACACCTTTTTTTCTTTTTCTCTAAAAAAAAAAAAAAGCTAATCAAAGAGGTCTCCTACCTCCTCCGGAAAAATCTTTATTTAATTTTCTGCCCGTAAGCCAAACTTCAGTCTGTATTCAAAAACCCGCACCTGCTCACTGCTTCGTGGGGAACGTATTGTACACGTGGCCGTGAGCAGAGCCCGTGCCCCGCAGGACTCCCGTTCCACGGTGTGGCGTGGTGCCAGCCGGGATTAACTACAGCAGTTAATTTCTTCTGGCAGTGCCAGTGTTTAGGTTGTATGCAATTAAAAGCCGGGCTACCTGTTTCTAGTCAAAAAGGATTCGCTGGGTTTTCGGTTGTCTTCATTTAGCAAATCATTCCTCACTCTTATTTAAGCAAATTAGGTTTCTTGGTTGTTTTATGCACAAGTTGTGAGGAGCAGTTCCAGGCATATGAAGCACTGAAATGGTGAACAGGTAGTTTAACTTCAGTTGGAAGCTTTCAGAATAAAAAAACAACCAAACAAGCAAAAAAAGAGAGAGGTTCCATTACTATGCCTTAAAATACACCATCTCATCTGTATTCATGAGGAGGTATATGCAAAACCTTTGCCAATACTCTGAGGTGTACAACTTCCCAGGTACCAGGATTACACAACTCTAGCAGAATGATGTACCTTGAGTTTAATTTTTTTTCAGGATTGATAGTATACTTTTAAATATAGCGTAGAAGTTACTATTCTAGTGATCCCTTCTCTACCTCCTGAAAACAGAAGAGACGTTTGACTTCTATAACTTTGCATTCCCACCTTCCCTCCAGCTGAGCCGTCGGCTGCCAAAGCGCCTCCGACAAACCCAGGCTCTTGCGCTGACAGGGTCAGCAAAGGCGCTGCAGTAAGGGCAGTGTCTGTCTTCACACTCGTATTGCCACGCAAAGGCAGGTATTTTTTTAAAGCAACGTGGAAAAGCTGCAAGTAATAAGAATGACACTTGCTTTCTAAAAAAACCCCCTATGTTGTACAATAATGACATAGCCGGAACGGACTATTTGCAGTGCTGCACTCGGAGAGATTGAAAATGCAAACATGCCTCCTAATTTTAGTGTACTGGTTTCCAAGGTC